GTTGTTCCTTTAGCCTGATTGTTTTCTTTTACAAATCAAAGATCCTTTTCAGCAGATTTTTCAGAGAATTGCCTCTCAATAAGGATCATGGAAAAACTAAGCCATATATTTACTTAGAGAATAGTCACTAGGCTTGTGTATCACTTTTACAGAGGAACTCTGACCTTTGTTTACATAATTTCAATGTGTTCATGACTGCAGAAAGCCACACAGTGTGTTCAAAGCAGAAAAGGTTTTGAGTAAGACCTATCCCAATGCATAAAAAAGGTGCAATAGTTCAGAGAAATATTTGTTCTGTAGCTGAATTAAATAAATGGATACCTAAAAAGTAACCCCCTCTTTCCTAATGCCAATCTGAATTGTTTCTTTCCTGTTCACTTGACTGTAATGAAACTTACAGTTGAAGAAAACCTTTCCTAATTTCCTTTGTCATGGGAGAGAAAGGCTCTGCATTGGATTTATGGTAGGCACTGGTAGCTTCCATGATGGTGGCTACATTATATTGTAGTGGGGTTTTTTTGTTTGCTTGTTTTGTGTGTGCCTATGTGCTATCTTCTATGAGCTTACTGAGTTAAGACTTATCCTTGATAACTTTGTCTGCATATGCAGTTTTCAGATATACTATGTATATGAGTTTCAACAGAGTCCCTCAGCCTGTTCTCTCAGGTATGAATATTCAGATGCTACTTAGTTGTTCCAGAAGAATATTTCTTTTCAATATAGTATCTTAAGCTCTAAGACCAATACTTACACAGAGTTGAAAGAGTTGGTGTTGGAAGAAATATGGGTGAAGAGTTGTGGATATGGACAAGCAGACTCATGCACATGTGGCAGGGTAGATTATTTAGCTTATACATTTTGTGTGGAATCAGTGGCTCCTTATGTATGTACTGAGAAGTGATGATGAGTTGTGAACGACGAGCGAGGGGAGCTTTACCTTCCACTGAAAAAGCACATGCATATCCTTATTCCTTCTGTTATTTTTAAATACTAGATTTACTAAAAAATTAGTGTCCTATGAAAGTTCATATTTTGAAGACTAAGCTGTAAATCATAAACTGAATTTAAAATTAATATCCTTTATATGGAAAACATTCTTCAAAGTAATCTTGAGATGGCACTAGTAAGTTCTGACTGAAAGGGTGTGAGAAAGCATTCCACTTTCAGAATTTTCCTGAATGAAGGGAATGTATTGATAGGAAGAAAACAATGGATTCTGGAAAAGTCTTCCTGGGTATTTTGTTGTAGTACAAAAATTTGCAAATTATGTAATTAAGGCTCAGATCTTTCTTTTGTAATGTTTACCATTTAAAAATAAAAACATGCACAGCTTGCCATATAAAACAGAATTTAGCAAAACATTGTACACAGCATTAGAACATTCTCTTTTAATGGTTTTATATGAGGCCTACACGCGCAATAGGATTAAAACTTCTATCTCTACATGTATATACTAAGAAGAAGACTCAGTAGCTTGGGGAGAATTATGCACAGGATATGTATAGTTAGAGGGGTATGGTCTCATTTCTGATCTATGGAAATGCTGTACTTTGTGAAGAGGTAAAGAGAAATGACATAAGAGCTTTAGGCCGTTTAGGAATTAAGTAAGCCTGACAGTTTTAGATGTTATTTATACAGCTTCACAAATTTTAGAATTGTCAGGGCAATTAATAAAGGTGAATGTTTAAAGTACAGGATATAAACTCCACATCAGTTCCACACTGTCCATGCAGATGTACTTGCAGAAACACATTCTTTATAATAACCTGCTTAATGATTCATAAAACTATGGTAGAAAAACAACCAGTAGCAGTATTTTTATAAACCTTTTAAATATGCAGCCTGTGGAATGATATAAACATTATTGGTAACTATTCCTGATGATTTTTAGTTGTGTATGATTAGGAAATGCTTTCCTATTTTTAGTAGTTGGTTTCTGGATTTTTTTTTTTTTTAATCAGGTTTTACTCTCCTGGCTATTACCTGAAAAGCAAAGAATGATGTTTTAACATATGAGTATCTATCTCTGAAGATATTCTCCATCTCAAACAAATTAACCACACATGAACTGTGCAAGGTGCCAAATACAAGGTCCTTATGTTGGTCAGGGCAATCCCAAGCACAAACACAGGCTGGGCGGAGAACAGATAGAGAGCAGCCCTGAGGATAAGGGCCTTGGGATGTTGATTGACGAGAAGCTCAACATGTGCTGGCAGTGTGCACTCACAGACCAGAAAGCCAACTGTATCCTGGGCTGCATCAAAAGGAGCGTGACCAGCAGGTCGAAGGAGGTGATCCTGCCCATCTACTCTGCTCTCATGAGACCTCACAGGAATGATGTGGTCTGTGGCCTAAAATGTAACAAATGTGTGGACCTGTTAAAGTGAGTCCAGAGGAGGGCCACAAAGATAATCAAAGAGCTGGAGCTCCTCTCCTGTGAAGACAGGCTGAGACAGCTGGTCTTGTTCAGATGGAGAAGAGAAGGCTCCAGGGAGATCTTACAGCAGCTTCCAGTTCCTAAAGGGGGCATGCAAGAAATCTAGAGAGGACTTTTTACAAAGGGATGTAGGGACAGAACAAGGGGGAATGGCTTTAAACTATAAGATGGTAGATTTAGATTAGATGTTAGGAAGTTCTTTACAGTGGTGTTGGGAAGAGGTTGCCCAGAGAAGGTGTGGATGCTCCATCCCTGTAAGTGTTGAGCGATCTAGCCTAGTATGATGTGTGCCTTTGTGTGACAGGGGCGTTGGAACTAGATTTTTATGGTCCCTTCCTGCCCAAACCATTCTATGAGTCTAAGTGTGAGCACCTGTAATATGTTTGGTAAAAAATTAGAAAGAATCTGACTTGCAATGCATAAATTCAAAATGAGTAAAGAATATGATGATTTATTTGCCTGGACACAGGGAGCTGAGAATCTTTGAGCTTTAAAAGTCAAATGTCTGCATTCAAGATAGAGTGGCAAGGCTCACTAAAACTAGGAAAATGCAGCCAAATAAGTGATGTGTTGAAATTAATGTAAATAAAATTGTTGCTGTTTCTTAGTAATATTTTATCTTTCTTTATTATTTTGCTAAATTACATATCTTTCCTGTGGAAAAATACTAAAAGAACTCATCCTAATATGCAAAGGCATATATACACATATCTATATGTATATATGTCTATATGCATCTATGCATATGCGTTTGTCTATGTGTATTTACGTATATGCATGCGTGTGTATATATGTATGTATGTATGTATGTATGTATGTATAGGACAAGATCTCGGTAGCCTTAACCACATGGAACAGTACTTCACAATACCCCTTCAAAGGCAAATGAGGCCATCTGGAGAACTAACAGCTCAAAGGAAGTTACAGGAATTTGAGTGGTATTGAGGCTGTAGCAAACAATCTGTAAAGTAATCCAGGACACAATAAGATCCAACCAGAAATGTTATGCTCTACAGGGTAAATACACTGAAGCACCAGAGCTACTGTTGCTCACCAAAAGGTTTTGTGTCTCTGTGGCAATGGGATGGACAAGGAAGTAATATTTGCTGAGGCGCGGATTGACTCCACAACTCGTTAAAGTTGTAAAGTAGGTATGCTTTTTATTCAGCGCTGAGACGCACGGGGATAATTCCTCAAAGTCATGCGTACCTCAGTGTTGTTTCCCTCTACATTTATTCTCTAAAGTTACATATATTCATAAGGTTGCACAACACGCCTATACATATTCATGTCCTATCCCCGCTTCGTATTATAATGAGCCAGAAGGTCCTTTGCGCCTGCGCAGTGCCCCCTCTGGTCATGGGCAGGGGTCTCAAGATGAAGTAACTGAGTCCTCCTCCTGTGGCTAAGGGTCTTCAAGATGAAGTAAATGAGTCTTCCTCTTCTTGCACTTTTCACCTTTCAGTCTTCACATATGGCCTTAGGGTTTGGTCGGTATCCCAGCCATAAACCATCTGCTTCTCCCCCTTATCAGTAGATTCAGGCGTCTGCTTTTCCTTACCAATAGCTGCTTATCAATAGGACCAAGTGTCTGCTTTTCCTTATCGATAGGACCAGGTGTCTTTGTTCTGCTTAGCAGGCATTTACATCAGACAATACTTTTGTTTAAGCAAGCAAATTCCTCTAACCCCCTTGTACAACCCCCTGTACGTTGGTCAACTCTCTGCATCATTGCAGCATAGAAAACTATCCCATTCAGTGCTGGAGGAATGAGGAATTCCAATGCGTGGAAAAAACATTTTCCTGTAGCCCTACTGTACCTGCTAATTACTTGTTTATGAGCACAAAGAAAATAATCCCTTAAACACAAAACATGCCTTTAAGAATACCCTATCTCCCTAAACTAGAATATTTTTTTATCAAAGCAATGTTTCGTGCAAATACAATGCAATCTCGCATCTGTAAAACAGACAATTACAATCAACCCATCTTTCTTCCCACAGAACAAGATGGGCAGTTTTAAAAGTACTGCTGGAAATCGTTGTGCAAGAATAAGCACTAATATTCCACAACTTATTTTTTCTCAGAAAAAAAGTATGTGTAACTGTACATACTGATCCCTACCCCTGTCACATTGAGCAGACTGGATTGAGACCTGTATTGTTTCATTTATATATTTGAATAATCCTACACTTAGTTGTGATTGACATATTTTCTAGACGACAAGGGTTCCCTTGTGGTGTGCTTTGTGGAGTGTATTTGGGCTGGAATGCTTTCAGTTTCTAAAGCAAGCATTTGCAGCTATAAACTAAACGCAAGATCTGGCCAAGAGAACAAACTGCAAGAGCTGCAGTGGGTGTTTACTGTTCTTAAAAATCAGCCATTAACAGACCTTAAGCAATCTAGGAGATGTTTAGCTGAATTTTGTTTTCCGAGGTTCACTTCGATAAGGAAAAAAGGAGGTGAGAGAAATTGCAGGAGGAGGAGCTGATCCGTCTCAAGGTGGAGCTGTATCTTGTATTAAATAACACTCGCAGATTAAAGCTCTCTGGTGGGGAAGGGCTTAAAGGCTGAGTCAAAAGCCAAGAAGTCTCTTTATTTACGCCTACCTCCGTGCCCGTGGCAATCTGACTAATAACAAACTGCTCTAACAAGAAAGACTAGAAAGAGCAGAGAGCACACAGAAGCAGCTTGCATCTAAAAATCTGACAAACCAAGTGATCCAGTTAAGCTCTGCTGAGCGTTTTGTTTGTTTACTGCATCCAAATGCTTGCAAACAGTTAACTATATGCAGATAAGTCAGCATAGCTGTGAAGTACGCTGTGAATTTTAATTGAGGAAGAAGGACAACTACTTATAGGATAGTCTAATGAGCACGCTGCCTGGAAGATTTTTTTTCGATTGAATGCTTTGTACTTTGTCTTCTGAACAAGGATTTTAACTTTATGGAGCTGTAGTATTGCCAGAGCTTGCAGCAAAAAGAAAGTGTGCATTTTTCACAGGGAAAAAATTACATCGCATTGAAGCAGCTGCTTCAACTGTGCATTGGTGAGCGTTACAGGAAGCGTTACTGCTGTACAGGTAAGAAAGATTCCAGTTACCTAATCAATTTAACAGTGGAATTTATTTCTCAGTAACAGTGAAATTTATTTTTATGCACGACTTTGTGTAACTTTTATGTTAAATGATGGCTGTTTATACTGTTTTTTCAAACAGTCTGCCAGTTGCATTTATTCAAACTGCCAGCTGTGTAGAATGTGTGTGTTAAGGGAACGCTGATTTCAGATCCCTTGAGGGGGGACGAATGGGTGTTTGTTTTTATTTCCTGAAGTGAAAGAGTGGTCTTAGATGCATGTCTGACTGTGATTTCCTTCAGAATTTAATAAACAATCCTGACGGCTTTTAGAAATTACCGGTTCTTAATTTGAGATTTTGAAATTCTTCAACATGCAGTTTTAAAATAGCTGAATTAAAACATCCAAATGAACACCCCCCCCGGCCCCAAGTAAAATAGCATACTATTTCAGTGTTTTAAAACCACGTTATTATTTGCCAAGCATGTAATGCCTTTGCTATAAAGGGTCTACTTCTGAAAGTATTCAGCATTGCCTCATAGAAAGAACTGTGACTTTTTCAGTCCTTTAGAGTGCCTACTGCAAAAAGCTGTTACCATGTGCAGTTAGCAGTGACTTTTCATGAAAGCAGGTAAAAGTTACCATGCAGAATTTGCTGAAAAACCTCACCATGTGAAAAAAGGTCAGCTTTGTCAAGACTTTAAAATTAAATTTTACTTTATTATGGATTTAGTTAAATGTTGATAAAAGCAGCTTTTATTTTCCACTAGTAGCCCACTGAGAGGTTCATTACATATCCCCAAGTGTTGAGACAAAAAAAAAAAAACCAAGAATGCAACGGCCCTATTAATTTTTGCTCTGAAGATATGTGTGTGTGAGAGTTCTGGCAGTGGTGCTCACAAAAGTACGATGATGATTAAAATGGGAATGTTTTCCACTTGGTTACAAATGTTGTTACTTCCATCTCTGAGAGGAGGGCTCTCATTTTTACAAGCTAATTTCTCAATAAGCACTAGAATGCAACATGTTTTTCAGATGGTTCCCCCCCCCCCCCCCCCCCCTTTATTTTTGATCAGGGACTTTTTAACTGCCGTTTAAATTTGATGCAGATTGAAGCTGGAATTCCTACAGAGAAAAAGTGTACAGAAATGAAGTCGAATAAGTCATACAGTAGGTTTAAAACTGGCATCTGTGTCAAAAGCCTGCATTTTTTTTTACCTTGGGTCACTGGAAGGGATATTGATGCATGTAAAGCAAGGATTACTCTCTAGCTTAATATGATTCTAGAATTATTCTGCATACTTCAAAATAACATCTTGACATGTTGTTTCTCATCCAGTACTTCTGGGGAAAACAAACTTAAAGACATGTATGTTAAGCATAGGCAGCTAGAGTTCAAGGAGTTTTACAGGAGACAATAAAATTATTTGTAGTACAGAAACAAAGATGAAAGGTCATATGTTTAAGGACATTTTTTCTTACACTATGAATGTCACTATTCTAAAATCATACATCTACTCCCACTTATTAGGAACTTCTAATGGATAAAATCATAATTCACTGTGCTGTTGTTCCTTTTTGTGTGTGTGTGATACTCATACCACACTACTTAAGTGTCTACATGTATAAATCTTTGCAATCTGTTTTAAGAGAAGCCTTGAGAAATGGTGTTGCTAATAATAAAGGTACATGATAATTAAAATATATAGATGAGATGCCAGATCATATGGCCACACTGTAAGAGTGTTCCTATATGTAATTGAGTAGATTCTTGTAAAAGGTTCTACACTCTTTCAGAAATTAACCCTTAAGATGGTTATGCAGTGACGCTGTATATTTCATGTTTCAGTAGCTTTCTTTGAAAGATTAAGTGACCCTTATTAGATAGGTTACTTAAGAAGCTGATTAGTTCAGTCCTAGAATAAATAGCCCACCCCACAAAAAGTTCTGTGTTTTAAATCTTCCATGCAATTGAAAAAGTATTTATTTATTTTTAGCAAATGTGGAAATATTTAATTAAAGATTATAAACAGTGATTTCACTCCATCTCTTATTACCCGTGTTCTTGTTAATAGACAGCCTTGACAGAAAAAAAAAAAAAAATCTTCAAATAAAGTGTGGCAAAAGATAATTGACACCAGTTATAACAATGTGCAATGTGTAAATTTGCCTGTGACTCCATAGTTGTACTGTAATGATGCATTTGTCAGGTATTTCAAAGTTCAAGATCAGCTTGACAGATGATAAGTTACATAACATAGAGATCATAACTGGTGGTCATTTTTAACTTGTAAAGCATAGTTAGTACCATGTATGTTTCAGATCTTTTGCAGTAATTAATGATTATAATAACTGAAAGGAGCCTAATAATTTAAAAATAATGCTTGACCCTTGCCTACGTATTTCTTCTGACTGTACTGCATTGTCAGTTTGTTCTTTTTTATTTTGTGTACACAATTATTTAATGCTTATGTTATCTACAAACATATTACACTAATATGTGCTGTGTTTCCGCTTTCACTTAATATCCACAAACTATAATACATGCATTAAAATTTCAGTAAAGAAAAATTAATATTTTTGTGTACTTTTTTTTTTGGCTTGGAGGTACAAGGGTTACAGAGGAAATACCTTTGATTTATACACACAATGCAGAACCAAAGGAGAAATTCTTTGTGTCCTGACTGAATGGGCTTGTTCTCACCTCATATTGCTGAGCCAAACCAAATCTTTCTTCTTTTCAGCAGCTAGACAACATTAAGTTGAGCTTAGTAATGTACTCTAAAAATCTGCAGTGCTATATGGTGACACAAAGCAACTATCCAAAATATTATATTAGCCTTGATATAAATTGCTTAGGGCAGTAACTTATTACTTTTGTCCACTGGCAAAACATTCTATATAATATAAAGTCAACACACTCCTGATTATCTCCTGCTTTGGGTATCAGCATGGAAGTACTGAAGCACTCCCATTATTACTGCTTATTGATTCAGTACATTAAATTATATTTTTCTCTCTTCAGAAAATAATTCAAATGTTTTGCATGATATAATATTGTTTGCAAAGTGAAATAGCTTAATGAGAATTACTAGGAATTGTTATTGCTCTTCTACATCCCAGAAATAAAAATAAAAGTCAACCCTGTGAAACCATTACCCGATTACTTTTTCTTTTTCTTCTTTTTATTTTTTTTTTTTTTTTTTTTTTTATTTTTATTTTTTATAGAATCTGCTGGGCATCATGAAGCTCTGGATTTTTATTCTATATTCAGTTGTCGTTGCATCTGATCCTTTCCACTCTCAGCCTTCTTTTTCTTCAGTCAGAGGATCTTGTCAGAGTTTGTGTTCCTGTGAAGAAAAGGATGATACCATGATTATAAATTGTGAAGAAAGAGGCATCAGGATGGTATCAGAAATAAATGTCCCACCATCACGGCCTTTCCATCTTAATCTGTTAAACAATGGCCTGACTATGTTACATGTGAATGATTTTGCTGACCTTGTTAATGCTATCTCTCTACATCTTGGTTTTAATAATATTGCAGATATTGAGCCTGGGGCTTTCAATGGTCTCAGCCTTCTTAAGCAACTTCATATCAATCACAATTCTTTAGAAACACTTAAAGAAGATATGTTTAATGGACTGGAAAATCTGGAGTTTCTTCAAGCAGACAACAATTTCATCACAGTGATTGAAGCAAGTGCCTTCAGCAAGCTCAACAGGCTTAAAGTGCTTATTTTGAATGATAATGCCATCGAGTATCTTCCTCCGAATATATTTCGTTTTGTGCCATTGACCCATTTAGACCTTCGTGGAAACCAATTACAGACACTGCCCTATGTTGGTTTTTTGGAACACATTGGTAGAATACTAGACCTTCAGTTGGAAGACAATAAATGGGCCTGTAACTGTGATTTGCTGCAGCTGAAAATATGGCTAGAAAACATGCCTCCTCAGTCAATTATAGGTGACATTGTATGCAATAGTCCTCCAGTTATCAAAGGTAGCATCTTAAGTAGATTGAAAAAAGAATCACTTTGTCCTACTCATCCTGCCAATGAACTTGAAGATCCTTCAGGGTCACTGCCCTTGGTTGTAACCACCTCTGTCAGTGATAGTCACCTATCAACTAAGGTGATTCCTATCCTGAAAGCTCCTACTAAAGAACCAAGTTTAGTGCTTCATACTTCAAAGCCTACTACTGAGTTTCCAGGAATCTACTGTCCTGTCCTCTGTCACTGCACCAGCCATATGCTCTCAGGAGTTCTCATGCACTGCCAGGAGCGAAATATTGAAAGCTTGTCTGATTTAGGACCCCCTCCTCCAAATCCTAAAAAGCTAATTCTAGCTGGAAACATTATTCAGGCAATACTGAAATCAGATCTTGTGGACTATGCTGGCCTGGAAATGCTTCACCTGGGGAACAATCGCATTGAAATCCTAGAGGAAGGATCTTTCACAAATCTGACTAGACTGCAGAAATTATATCTCAATGGCAATCATCTTACGAAGCTGAGTCAGAATCTCTTCCTTGGCCTTCAGCACCTTGAATACTTGTACCTTGAATATAATGCCATCAACGAAGTTTTGCCAGGGGCATTTAATGTAATGCCAAAACTTAAGGTCCTTTATTTGAATAACAACCTTCTGCAGACTTTGCCACCCCATATCTTTTCAGGTGTTCCACTTACCAGATTAAATCTGAAAACAAACCAATTTTCTCATTTGCCTGTGAGCAATGTCTTGGATGAACTGGATATGCTGGTACAAATTGAACTTGAAGACAACCCCTGGGACTGTACCTGTGATGCTGTTGCGTTGCAGAAATGGATACAAAAACTGAGTAAGAATACAATGATGGGTGATATTTTTTGTAAATCTCCAGGACACCTGGCAAAAAAAGAGCTGAAATCCCTGAACAGTGAAGTCTTGTGTCCAGGTTTAATAAACAGCCCTGCTTTACCAACTCGTGCCAGTTTTGTAGTTGTGACAACTTCTACTGCTACTACCAACACCGCAGACACCATCTTGAGGTCCCTTACAGATGCTGTCCCACTTTCTGTTCTAATACTAGGACTTCTAATTGTGTTTATAACTGTTGTATTTTGTGCAGCAGGAATAGTTGTTCTTGTTCTTCATCGGCGACGAAGATGCAAAAAGAAACAAGCGGATGATCAAATGAGGGATAGTAGCCCCGTTCACCTTCAGTATAGCATGTGTGGGCATAAGACAACACACCACACAACGGAGCACCCATCTGCAACTCTTTATGAGCAACGTATGGTTACTCCCACGGTTCAGGTCTACCGCAGCCCATCCTTCAGTCCCAAACATACTGAGCAACAGCAAGAGGGAAGTGAGAAGGAAGCTTATGATTCCAAACATCTCTGCCGAAGTCTCCTGGAAAGAGGGAACAGTTCACCTCTTACAGGTTCAAATATCAAATATAAGGCTACAGATCAGTCTGCAGAGTTTCTTTCTTTTCAGGATGCCAGCTGCTTGTATAGAAACATTCTTGAAAAAGAGAGAGAACTTCAGCAACTGGGGATCACAGAGTATCTAAGAAAAAATATTGTCCAGTTCCAGCCTGACATGGAAGTTCATTATCCTGGAACACATGAAGAGCTGAAGCTAATGGAGACACTCATGTACTCCAGGCCAAGAAAGGTTATTCTAGAACAAACTAAAAATGAGTATTTTGAACTCAAAGCTAATTTACATGCTGAGCCTGACTACCTGGAAGTCCTGGAGCAGCAAACATGAAGTGATACTACTTTGGGCTGCGGACGAATTTCTGTAATTCTGTTTTTAGTTGGAACCATTGTAAATAAAAGTGCCTTATAATAACATGTCAACAGTCAGACCTTAAGCACAGCAGTAATCCTAGCAAAAAAAACCTCAGGGATCACTGTGGGAAGCCATGGGGTTATGTGCAGGCAATATGTCTTACCCCAAGTTAAACATGAACTTTGTGTGATTGAACTGTGGGAGGAAGGTTGGTTATTGAAATATTCCTCAACATTTTTAAAAAGTGTGTATGGCACTCTCCATTCTGTACCTGACCTATGGAAAAAAATGTTCTATTTACTTCTTTTTCCACTCAATTTAATTAGATTCCTTTAAAAAAAAAAAAAAAAAATCACACCTGTGTTTGTAGTTACAAAGTTAGAGTGGATTGGTCAGGTTAGTACATGCACTGCATTCATGACCACTGTCTACAGCTGCACCTAACATACCATTATAATAAATATGAAAGAATTAAAATGGCATACTAAATGTCAGTTAAAAAAAAAAACAAAACAACCCACACAGAAAAAATATTTTTGTCTGTGCACCCAGAACCTGCAAATATTTAAGTATTTTACATGAAACTTCATTCTGTGCATTCTGTATCAGTATGTGGAGCAAAAAATATGTAACCGTTTTTACCCAGCATTTTCAATGAAGAAAAAAGCAAGCCTTTTGAATTAAAAAACAAACCTTTTCCTACTTTCCCTATCTGATAGCTTTACCTAAGTTTGGACAATCTTTTCTTGAGCTGCTGCTATAAAATATTGTGCATCACTGGTGTTTCAACTCATAATCCTGGACAATTTGAAAAGCTACTGAGAATCAGCTGTAAATATGTTACTGTGTTTAATAAGTCTGGGTTGTTGTTTTTTTTTTTAATATATATCTATATCTATATATAAGTAACTTCTGTGCTGGCTTTAAATATTCTTGGAAAAAAATGAGTTTGCTGTGGCTAGGAACTTCAAAGTGCAAATACAGGTCCTTTTCCATCCTACCCTAAAGCAGCTCCCAGACAGAACAACTGCAACAGTACAGACATGTGGAAGAATGATAGTATTTAGCTGTTTGTACAAAAATAGGTTATATTTTCTGAAATTAGAACCTAATGTGTTGTGAGAAAAATAGGTAAAAAAAAAGTAGAACACTGCAGGTTTATTTTTGCAATGAATTCTTGCTAGATTTATATTTGCTATTTATTCTGTATAATTTTGTATTTTTTTTTCAATTGACAAGAAAAGAAAAAGCTTATTCCTGGCTGCCTTTCAAGCAAATCAAGGAACTGCTCTCTATCAATGAGAAAGAAATAAAGAGGGTTTTTTAATGTCTTTTTCTTAAAAGAAAGACATTCCTTCTTGTAAAGAAGGAAGCAACTCCTGCATGCACAAGTTTAAAATTGTTTGGGAAATAAACACAACGATTCTCACTCTTGTCATATGGACAGAAGCATCTTGTCCAGAGTGCAGTAATTCCATTCAATTTTTGTGCATGAATGACATGGTGCCAAAACACAAATTCTGACCTGCATTTATATTCCTCTAAGTAAATCTTTTTGTAAACTGACTATGCATGAACTGGTTTTCTTTTCTAATTTGTATTTGTAGAGCTGAAGATCAGTGTCATTAGTACATATCCACCTATGTATGCTAAACTTCTCATTGAAGTCCTGATAAACTCGAAAGTTATTGTTTAGTTCACCTTACTGTTGATATCTTACCTATTTGTATATACAAATATGAGTTCTTCATATTGTTTGTACATACCTTTCTGAGAGAAAATTTCCTATACTGCATACAAAATTCAGATTCTCATTTCTTTCAAATCTGCATAGAGTTAATGACCTTGATGGTGCTAGACTAATTTGTGTAATTTGAGGATCTGACCACATGTTGTTTCTGTTAGCGAATCAACTTCCTCATTAAGATTTTTGAGGTGTTGTAAATTTGCTATGGAAGTAAAAAAAATCAAAATTTCAGTTCAGTTAGAGAACAAGTATTATTTCCGCTTCCTATGACTGTGAATAATTTAGTTCAGAAAACCTTTGTATTTAGGAGGATTAGGAAGAGTAACTGGTATAGCAACAATAAAATGTATTTGTCTTATGGCTGTCATTATTCCAGATAAGTAAACAGAATGCTAAATACTATTTCTGCAGGTAAGGGTGAGACAAAAGGGCAAATGCAGCTACATAAACTTTACGTTAACTTAATTATCTAAATAACAGTTATTTTTAGCTGTCCTTGCATATTCAAGATATGTGAATGGGCTTCATAGGGGTGTCATGCAACTTACGGAAACCCATGCACTGATCTAGATGAGCAACTGGAACCTTGGTGGGGTGGCTTAGAGCATCAAAATGACACTAGATATCTGCATTTAAGCAATTTACTTTTCAAAAAAACCCAAACAAACCAGGTAACTTCTTTATCTGAAGTTAAGATTCAGTGAAAATCAAATTCAGTCAATGGAAGTGATACTAGAAAACTGAGTATTAAATCAGACCCTCTAACATTGTTCGTTGTAGGATTTTAAGAGATCTCAAATTAGTACAGAGGAAAAATACCCAACAAAACCACAGAACAAAATGGTTCATGGTACTTGATAACAGAGTTTACTGTTTCAGTTTTTTTCATTTCAGTAGTTATTTCCACTAGTAAAAAATGGGAGTAAAAATAATACCCTGCAATTGGCAAGATGAAGGGACATGATGATTCAGGCCCTCAAGCTTTGATTTAAGAGAAGTAGCTTCAGACTAAAGACAGTTGCCACATGCACAGATGTCACTTTGCTTAGCTGCTAACAGTTATTTGGCAGAATGTTGAGGACAACTGTGTGGCAAAATAGTCTTTGTTGTAGTCTCAAAGCATCAGAAAGAAGAGTGATCTAAATTAATGTCAAATCAACTCAGTTATACAGCTGTATCAGAGCCTCACTCAGCAGAATTAAAGTGAGCTTTAGCTTTTAGCTTTCCCTTAGCAGGGAGATTCACATCATTCACATGTAAGGGCAACTGTACTCTGTGGCAGTCTGCAACTCTGCAAGTGGTTTTGCAGTATCTAGGAATCACTAGAATGTGGCACGTTATCTACTTTCCCATCATCTGCCTCTACTGGGCTGTCATGTAGTGAAAGCTTGCAGGATGAGGAGGGAGGGGTCTGGCTATAGCCTCCCCTCTTAATAACGTCCTCAGACAGTGATTTTTCCAGCTATGAGGAAACTTTATATTGCCAGAACAAAAAGGAATGAGAATATGGCCTTATGTGATTATTCTCCAGGTGAATAGTATCAGTATCTGCTGATAAAAACAAAATCATGTCATAAGAAAAGTATAATGTACCAAAAAAAAAAGCAATATCTGATTCTAACAGTTCCTTGGAACATTTTCATCATAACTACTAGAAATGTATCCTTAATGTTATTTGTGTTTGCAGAAAGTTGGAAGGGATATTCAGAAATGTTTCCTTAATACCCTTGTCTCTTTTTAATTTTTTTCTGATGGCAAGGCACAGTTAAGTGGTCTGATACAATTCACTTAGCTAGAATAACAGAGGTTGGAAGGCAAAGCGTGTTTGACAGTTTGCAACTAAATGGATATATTTTTCTCCTAACAGCACAATAGCTTAATTGAGTGTGATGAGTACTTCACCAACCACACTGGTGTATATGGCAGCTATGTTATCATTGTTAGGGTACCTCAAGTTAACCAACACTACCATTTTTCCCCTCACATCTGAGTGAAGAAATTACATTCCATAACACTATAGACCTGTTCCCTAAATAAACAGATATTAAAGCAATTTATTGCATTTTTTAAAACTTTTTTAAACTTTTAAACTTTATAAAAGTTAAATGTATTTTTCTTTCTTTTTCTTGCTATTTTCTTTTTCTGCTATAGGTATTTGTCATACAGACTTTTAGTACCAGTACTTAAATATACATTACTTGCAGCGATGCTTCTCCAAGCTTCTAAACAGCTTGAAATACACCAAAACAAAACCAAACCCCCCAAAACCCCCTTCCATCAAAACCCGCAAATTTACACATAAATTAAAGTATTTGTTTATTCAATATTAGTCCAAGATTTTCACACATTATTCTCCACTGGAATGACAGATCAACCTTTCTGTAACCACATTCCAGGCTGGAAATGAGTTCATCGTTTTATCAATGATGAGTCTAAACCAGAGGTTTTTCACCTGTAGTCACTTTTTCTTGATTGTAATTTAAGGATCAAGTTTTGGCCACTCTTTCCATGACAAAAAAGTCCCCAGTATGACCCAAAACAAGGGGTGTTTACAATGTGCAACTTATTTGTATTTACTTAGTAGAGATTACTAACTGTATAGTATGCTAAACTGAAAAGGTAAATTTGTCTGGGATATCAAACCACCTTATAATGATCCACTTCTGGTGTGTTAATAAAAAAGGGGTATTTATCACAAGTAAAACATTATTTCACATTTTAAAGTAATAGTGCCAAGGGAAAACATGCAGACTGAATCTCATCAGAAAGGATTCTGGGTTATCATTCTGAGAACGCCATTATCTACAGAAGTAAACTTTATTAGCCACACCAACACAATCTGTAAGTTTCACAGAGGTGCACTGAAATCATTATGAGGAAAAGAAAACCCAGTCAAGCACTTGTCTTAATTCAAAAGATCAGCTGAAAAACTTCGCATTTCTCTTCTCTTCTCTTGTGCTCCCCAGCACAGAATGCTTTCATTTCCATTAATGAATTTCCTGCTCAGCTGTAGACGGACCTCTGGCAGTACAATCCACTGTGGCAACTGAAACCTACTCCATGGTGAGGTTTTGCAGAGTTTGCATTGCCTTAAGTGGTCACTTCCTCTGGGACTTAATGTTTGGTGCACCCTGTTGGATTTGAGACAGAGAAGATGGATCTACTACAGGCCCTGCATTAGAAGTCAAAAGACCTGTCCCTGTTTGACTTTCTGAAGCTTATGGTATTCTTGATCATGTTCAACAGTTGGTATCAAATCTTTTTATTCCTTGAAACAGGAGAAAATTGTAGCTGGAATAAATATAGGGAAGTTAATTGCCATACTGAAAAGATACAGCATTGTTTTTTCTGCACATTTCCTAACAATTAGCTTTGGCTTTTTGACATAACAGAACAAATTCTTAAGAGCCACAGTTTAATGGATAGCAGCTAACCTCAAGGAAGAAAGTAAAACACCAGATTCTGTTCAGCTCTATGAAAGCAAGATGTGAAGAACTTTATTTATTCAGGTTCACCAATATGGAGTGCAAGTACATGTGCACAGCACATTTCATGAAGCATTTACCAAAGTTTTGTGTTTT